AGTTAATCTACTAGTATTAGTTTTATAATATATTAGTAATTACTAGAGTTTATAAATAAAAATATAATAACTAATTATAAGTTATTATATACTAATTAAATAACTTAATCTTATTCTATATAGTAAATAGTTAATTATAAGTTATTATATACTAATTAAATAACTTAATCTTGTTCTATATAGTAAAATTAAATTATATATTATTTAATTTTAAAATTAATTAAACTTTTATTTATAATTAAGAAAAAAAATAACTATAAATTTTTTTTTAATTAAATTATAAAATTAATTTATTTTTCTTTAATAAATATTATTAAAGAAGAGTAAATTAAAGCTAGAAATAATATAGCTTACTAGTTTATTATACTAAGTAAACTTTCTAAGTAATATAACTTATATCTGTAAAGCAGTTCTATATAAAAGTAAAGCTGTATAGAGGAGTCAGTATAAATAGAACTCACCTGCCCAAGGCCGCTCGAAGCTGCAACTATTAATTGCGTTCAACTATATCACGGTCAGCGGGATCAAGGATAGGTCCGGCTTACCTGCCTATGGCTCCAGCTGTTGATTACATTCATAAGGGTCGCGGCGAATAGGATTAAAATTAGGTACCTGCTCGAGGCTGCAGCTGTTCACGTGTTCATAAGGGTGAAGATAAATAAGATCAAGCAAGAAGAAATAACAATTTACACAGGTACTTAACCAGTGATAGCAACTGCAAAGTCACAATTTCACTCAGACCAATAGGCAGTTGATACTTCAAAATTAACTAATTGCCAGTCAGTAATATATCATATAACTGCAAAGCATCCTATTATAGAAACGAATCTAGAAGCTGCACTCCGGCTATTGCCTTCACACATCATTAAGCTTCGCTTGATCATACAAGTCCCTCCAGAAGAACATCTGCTTTAAGATCTTCTTGATTTCCTCATTGCTCTCTAAATGGGCGAAGCTCTCCTTCCTTGGACCTCTAATCTGCAAATGCACCTGACGAGCTGTCTCCAATCCAAAATAGCCAGCCATTTCCCAATCTACCAAGCCGACAATCTTGCCATCATCGACAATCGTGTTCGACTCAGTAAAGTCATTGTGCATGAAGCAAAAGTCTATGTCCGTGTTCATGTCAGAGAAGATGATGTCCGCCTCCTCTTGCCGGATACGATGGCTTTTGACGGGATCTGGAGCCGGGACGACGTATGAGCGAGATTTCTGTGCTGAGGGAGGCTTGATGTCACGCAGTGTGCGGAGAACTACGCGGGCCTGCTCCTTGAAGCTCTCCATTTCATCAGAGCCTAAGTATTGCTTAGCGATGTTGAGCCCAACGCCGGGTATTCTTTGCTGAACAAGGACATCGCCACCATGGATCTAAACAAGTCAGAGTGAGTGAGCAGAAATAGACATGAAGCACACACCTTGCCCATGAAGTATATTTCCGGAACCTTGATGCCCAGCTTCGCCAGCGGCTTCTGGGCAATAGCGACAGCAGCGACCTCGTTGGCGTCATTGTAGGAGTAGTCGCGAGTGGGAGTCTTGTGAAGATGGCCCGACTTGATGATGATACTCCCGAGGGCAAAAACATCGCGACCGTCGTCGTCTAGTTCGTTTTTGTAGACCAAATTGGAATCACCGCACCATGAGAGGACATCTTCCCAGTATCTCAAGGATTGGGAAGACGTTGAGTTGATGTGTTCAAGTTGGGGTTTGAAGTCACATACTGCTGGCCCATAACGGCCATAGAGGGGGACATCAGCATATCTGTCGTTTCTGGGGATCTTGGCTGGGTCTGTCTCGTAGGGAGACACAGATATTGACTGGCCTTCCATAAGATCGAAATCAAGTGTGGAAAACACTGGAGAAAAGAGACAAAATTAAACAAGAGGTAATGAATTCGGAGAGGTTTGGGTCGCAACCAACCGCGACACGATATTGTCGTTGGCATGTAGAAATCCAACACTGTTGGCTGTCCGTGCATTACAACCCCTAAATCTGGCTAGCTGGTGATTTGTCATGTTATGCAATCTGAATCAAATGCATTGGACTTCACGTAGTTGCTATGTGCTCCTCTCGTGCAAACAAGAGACGGCATTGCTGGCTGTGAGGTTATTTCCTTTGGCCGACCATGACTACGATCCCAACTAAGCTGGATCTTATAGATTAAAATTAAAAGGAACCGGGAATTACTGAGGTTGAAGGGTACTTACTTGATGACAGACTACGCTGCAGAGATCTCGCGAATGACGCAGCCCAGCAGCCACACATCCTGGTTTCTGTTCGGAAGGGTGTGTTCAGTGTTTACTTGACACTATAAATCTGCTTCACCTCTCATTTTTTCTCTAGAGCTCTTCTACTTGTTCAAGCTTGAAATAAACAAGTCAGGCCAAAGCTGGCCAACGAGCTTTAGGTTACTGAACAGTAACAACTCTCACTACATTTCGGCGACCTTTCCCTTGAGGTTTAAGGTAATAGCCCCGCGTAAGAGATGCTTCGCGAATATACGGCTGTGTAATGTGATTCGTGTCTTGCCGGGGTTGTCTCCAGTCCTTGCGTTGAGTATTAAATACTACGGCTGAAGATGCCAATATCTCATGTTTCTCGTGTTCCAAAGCCTTTGAAGCGCTCGAGGAGCTGCGCGCACCCGTTAGGTTCGAAATAACGGTGACATACGCGAGGCCATAGTGCGTAAGTCATCCGCTGGGCTGAGCTCTGGCGCTTCACCGTCGGCATCAGTAACTGTCTTGATGTCGGCTTGATCGGTGCGGCGTAGTCATCTGCATTCACGACAGCAGCAGTAGCCTTTTCAAAGGAGCGACTTCACTTGAGGCTGGTTCATCGGCACCGTATTCAAGGCCAGAAGCGTGATGCTTTGAACCTGAACGAGCTCGAACGCGAGAGCCCGGGATTAACGAGCCTCTATTGGCGATGGGGTACTTGTTAATGCAATAGTGAAGTCGCCGATGTGTATGAGGAGAGTCTTGACTCAATCGAGCATCTTCTGACTTGGTTGTCTACTAACTTGAAGCCTGCAAGCAAGACAATCTGGGCCTTGATTTTGGCCAATGGACAGAGAAGAAAGGCAGGGACGCTGGGAGGAGAGCATTGTTTGATACGCCTTGGCGCCGGATGGGTAATACATAGGGACGCAATAGCAAGCCACCGGGTCCGAAGTCAGGATCCCCCGCGTATAATAAATGCAGGTCTGGGCATGGCGTAAGAGATGGCTAAATGGAGACTTGGTAGCTGTTAGCTAGCGATTATTGAAGACTATCGAGGTTGTATATGTAGTTAACTTGACTAGTCGCCCAACACCGCTTCGCACACAGCGAGACGAGGGACAAAGCATACACAGGGTTCCATCGAGTGGTAGACGAGTCCGCGGAACGGACTTACCACCATCGTGTTCAATTATGTTCTTCAAGCCCACTCAACCGTATCTTATAAGCCGACGCCATGCGCAGCCTTTGTCGTCGTGTATCTTACCGCTCGCATCTCACGGAAAACCAACCCTGCTTCGAGGTAGTGCATTTACCGCTCCGTGGACCGGTAAGCTAAAGTATCAACCATTTTTCTGTGATACCTTCTAGTAGGCATCACACTGGCACTCAGGTGGTATATGTTTCCGGTACGTACGTGCATACATGCAATATATCAATAGAGGTGTGTTGAGCACCCGAAACCGGTCGTCGTAGGTATAATAGTTCTATTGCTTGCATAATCGCCATCAATTATCTCCACTGAGTAGATCCGACGACCTGAGACTTATCCATGGCTGTGAACTAGGGCTCTGTCCCCCAATGCAAGCCACATAGGAGCGGGGAGATGAAGAAGGGGAAATAACGGAGATGATATGGCTATTACCTGGCCCCGATCGTAGCCAGTTGTTTTACCTACGGTACTTAGTCGAAGAAGTGATTGGGTGACCTTCATAGTTATACTTGAACCGTTGTGTAGTGAACATTTAATAAACTGCCACCATCGAAGAGCATGATAGTTCAGCGAGTGCTTAATGGACAAACTATCAAGCCGACATTTACAGGCCAGAGAACGACACGGCTTGCAATATGGCGACTGCAAACTTTGGCATGCAAGCCTGTTGGCTCATTCTGCTTTAAGCATTCCGTCCTGTGTATACTTTTGCCATTCATAGACAGTCAATAGGCATGGCTTTAATGACCAAACGCCCCTTTTTGGTGTTTGCTCAGTGAATTGGTGGCTTTGAGCTCTAATGACAGCATGGAAGCCAGGTGCAGCTTGTAGCAATCATTGACTCGCCATGCTTTATGGGAACACAGTCAGTATAATGGTGAGCAACTCACCCGCTGTGGATCCCTTGTCCACGAGTGCTGCGAGGTTTTCGTCCGAAGCAAAGGCGAATACGGGCTACCCAGGGCCCACGAGGTAGGGTTGCAATCATAGTTGATAGATCTGGGAACGATAAATGTAACGCATGGGACGAGCCAAGGCCCCTGGTATGTCATGGCAATATCATTGGAGGAATTCTGTCCTGTATTAGGTTAACTGTGTAGGTAGAGTCTACATCTGCATCATTAATAGATGGCGCGGGCAAGCTAAGAAACTCCGACAGAATTGACAAAAAAGATAATGCTTTGATTGATATTATCGCTTTAGAGACTATCTTAAGATGCTGGCATCGGGGGCCCTTAATCTGCAAACACCACAAACGCCAATTGGATATCTCAACGGACTGAACTAAACATATAAACAACCACCATCAAGGTTTCGCCTGGATCTACCAGCCAAGAACGTTGAAGAAGCTCTTTCGGGGGTCCTCTACAGCTCCATCAAAGGCCTTTTTGCGGTTTTCTTCGCTCGCGGCAGTGTTGTACTGGGCAAAGCGGCCGTCCATCACACGCTTTGACGTGGCCAATTGTTGCGAGATCATGCCAACAACAGCGGAGGCTGCAAAAGAAGAGGGCGTTAGTCATTGATTCACCAGGAAGAACGAGATGATAGAGCCATTGGAGTTGCTCCAATGGCAGGGTAGACCGCTACGGACCTGAAGCTATGAAGACGACGGCTGTGAGGACCCTGGGAGGGCCAGTGGCGGCGATGGGCTTGATGGGGTGAGCTGCAATGGCCATGGTGATTGAATGTGGTGAGCTGGTCGAGAGCTGAATTGGAAGTACAGTGGTTTTGAATGATTTCCTCAGGAAAATGGACTGGGAAATTGATGGATTTTGTTTTTGGCTGGCTGGTTGTGTTTGTGCGAGTGCGGATCGTGAGTGTGTGAGTGACACGGCAAAAGAAAAGGAAGGGAGTCTCGTGGAATTGAATTATTTATTCCTTCTACATGACGCCCAAAGTTGACCCTGGGCTGGCCGAAGACGAGATCAGACGAAAATAACCAATGCCTGCTGTCCTAGGCCGCCCGAACGTGGTGTGATGGTGGTATTATCCCCGTTTGCCTCTGCCTCATTTGTGGCGTGATTGCCAGCCCAATCCAGTCACCACATGGACAGGATTCGAGCAGTGCAGTCACAAGGCATCCGCAACAGGCTTCGTAGGCGACATTACGGCGTCATTCTCTTCTGATCTGATCTGGACACCGAAATTTCCCGGCTCCAGGTCGGGTTTGCACAGCCATTGTTGGTTGATGATCGAGGGATCTGGCCAAGGGGCCGCCAGAGCGCCCTGCTTCACCATCGCATCGACTCTGGCCAGCTGATGGCATCTCGGCGGGGCCCGCCGACTAAACCTGGAGCCCTCACCGAGTCTACTGCCGATCTCTCTCTCCTGTCTCCTTTCTCGCCCCTCGCCAGATCCTCTTCTGGCCATCATGACAGTTTCAGTGGATCCACGTGGGGGAAATGCCGGAAGTAGGGCAGAACAATGCAACAGTCACAGGAGCAAATCAGATCATGCTGATTATTCCCCTTTCCCCATAGATACCAGGGTCTAAAGAACCATAACAGACGTACTATGCTACATGGAAATGCTTGCGTAGCAGCACAGCCGTACGTGTACATGTCCCTGTGTGCATACTACATAAGATCTTATTCATGTCACATCGTACCATTCTCATCTTTCACTCACTCTTTCACCTGCGTTGGATGGTAGCTACTCTACCGCCAGCCCCATGCTCTAATTTATCGCCAGGGTATATTTTCCCTTGCCTTTGAATCTATCTGCCCTTTCTTTCTGTGCCAAAAGATCCCTGTCAACCCAGCAACAACTCCAAACGCCCATGCACATATATAGTCAATCCTAAGATATTACTCAGTGAGATGAATTCTCTTCGTCAAAGCCACCGCGGAACATGATACAATCAAAAGGCTGGCTCAGCCTCATTGATCAAAATAAAATCTGCTGCCTCTTCTCAACACGGTTCACCCCACCCGCCGGGCCCATCTCGAACGCTCTCTCCCACCAATAATTCCATTCTTGAAGTCTTTCGAACAGATCCACCACCAGGTCGCCTTGGTCCCACTGCGGCTTTTGTATCCCATGTCCCGCCTGGGTTGATTGAGTAAGTCGCCATTGGCCAGGCGCTTGAATTGTGAGCCTGTCACCCAAAGTAACCCAGTTCTTGCGAACATCCGTGATGATGCTCTCAGCCAGCTTCGTAATTTCCACGTGCGACTGGTTGCCTCCACTAGCTTCCAATGGTCGTTCAGTTGATGGGAATAGTGAATCGATACCCCAGGCACCTCTATCATCCTGCAGGGCACGGCGTAGTTGTGCTTCTACCACGCTTGTCCACTCTCGACCCTGCCTAAGAAGGTCTTTAATACCATGGATTCCCAAGGTCGCAGACATCTTCGGGGAGAGAGCAATGGCGTACAAGGATGGCCACAAAAGGTTCATGAAGGCCAAGTATTGCCTTACTAGATGGAGCTCTTCGCTCGAAGGCCATGCTGGTCCTAGCACTTGTATGCTTTCGATCATATGTTTCAAAACGATTTGCAGCTCCTCAGTATAGTGTGATGTGAGGAGCTGCCCTTGGCCGCCACCATCCTCCAGTAGTAATTGAAAAGCGTGTGTGTATATGTCGACCATGGGCAATGCTGCCACACTTTCTGATCGTGAGACCTCAATAATGGCAGGAAACATCTTGCCAAGTATAAACCCAAGAAGTCCATTCGTCTGCATTCCTTTGTAAAGAAGTATAGCTTCTTCACGTATCCCATCGCCCATCACTGCCAACTTCAATTGGTTAAGGAGGAAAAAGAAAAGCGGATGTTCCACTTTGATGTCTCCGTCAGCCAATCGGATACCGTAAGATACCAGGGTTGCGACCTGGAGTTGAGGATCTTGCTGAGGCGGGGAATACTCCTGGTTGACTTGATAGAAGAAATCATCAACGGTGCAGAAATCAGACGCATGGGTTTTAATCAGAGCAATTGCTTCTCTAACAAAGCCCATGTACATATGATGTTCATTAGTATCGCGTAATAGGGTTTTTAGATCATTCCTCATCAAAAGCATGATATGTTTCAGAACTTTTCCATGTTCCAGTTGCAAGCTTCTCTTTGGCCCTGGTTCAGCATCGCGAATCGATTTTCGCATCGACGATACTGCGTATTCCAAAAGTTGTCGCTTGATTTCGTAATTGATATCGCCCACAAAACCTTTGACCGTGTTAGGCACGAAAACTTCTCCATGATATATGAGTTGTTCCGCAAGGTCTTTTTCATAACCAAATGCTTCTCTGGGCTTGACAACTGAGATCAGCCACAATTCGATCAAGATCAAATGCCCCTCACTCCAATTAGAAAACCCATGCCTTAAGAGGGTTGTGATAAAGATGGGCAAATATCTCCGCTGGTTGATGCTAGTATCGTGTGGCAGGGATCTCCAAAGCCCACATTCCCCGGGTTTGAACAAATCCAAGAACTGTATGCAGCCGGTCTCAGATAGCCTCATGCCAAGTCTCGCCGCCAACACCACGACGAGCTCGGTGCACTGACTCTGTTCGGAAGACCTCGTCTTATCGCCCGTTGAGAGGATGCAATGGGTCATGGAGAAGAAGAGGCTTGCAATATCATGGCTCAAGACCTGAAGGGCATCATCGGCGAGTGCTGAGTTCAGAATCTGACTTTCACTTTCTTGACTCTGCTCGTTCGCCTTGAACTCGTCGACCTGGTTGAGCAATGTCTCTAGCATCGACAATGAAGGCCGGAGGATCTGCCAATCTAATCCTGGAGGTGTCGAAGAGAATCTGGCAAAAACTTGTTGTAGTTGCCGAATACCAAGGCAAAATAGTGCCGCCTCAAGATCCGGGGCTTGTTGAATTACCTCCAATGAAACTGCCACAGAAGTATATAGAACATCTGCAACAGCAGTCTTGTTCCATGATATCATTGCGCTGACCATTTCCGAGCTGATTGCCTTCGTTACATCCTTCGAGAGATTTGATAGCTGTTGCTCAATGTCAGGTGCGACTGATTCGTATTGTTCTAGTATTTGTTGAAAAAAGGAGCTACGCCATGCGTTGAATGGCTTCAAGGATGTTGTCGCTTCACCAGAGACCACGACGAAGCGGGCAAGTTGACTCCAGGTTCGCAGATTGATAAGACACGCCGCCTTGTGAGAGTTTGCAGGCACAACAAGGCCCTGGATTAGATTTACATTTGGGCGTAATTCGGGAGGCGATGCCCAGAACAGAGTACAGAGTAAATCGTGATGGTTTCGTAGAGCGGCTAAATCACGTTCATGAATGTGTTGTTCTTTCAAGTATTGCCTATTATGATTTGGCACTACTCGGGCGACGAGATTGCGAATGTCTTTGAGGGACCCTGCCGCCCTCAGTTTTTGGAGACCCAGAGCAATAAGCTTGAGAAATATGTGGAAGCAACGGTCTTCTCGCTCTATGCATAGAGAAGGTTGGTGGCCCAGTTCTTCCAAAAACCGAGGAGAGCTATAGGCCTCTTCGTTACGCAGATGGGCGAGACTTTGTGAGCCAAAGAAATCAAATATGACACCGACAATGCTTGCGCATTTATGCCATCCCCACTGTTCAACAAGATAGTGACATCGCCCAATGAGCGCTCGACAATAGTCATTAAAGCCTGGAGATTGGTGCTTGTTCTCTTGGTAGAGATGGAATATTCGCTTCAGTAACTGCTGAGGAAGTCCCCAGCCATCAGAAGAATTCCGATGTCGTTCTCCTGGAATCACCTTTCCCAAGTTACTGAATTCTGTAAGAGGGAGGAGAATGAACAAGCTATCCCAAACTCGTTCATGTTCCCTGGCGTCAAGACTCGATAGAAACGTAGGAGACAGAATCGCCCGTTGAAAGATGATCCAAAATGAAGCCTGGGGAACTCGTGCAACTTCGAGAACTTTCATAGTGACAACCCACGAGTGAATCACGAGATCATGAAGCCCGAGACCACATGCTCGGCGAGGGAAATGGTCCACATCGGAGAGCGCTTGCCTAACTCGATGAGGCCCAAATTGTAAGAGAACCCGGATTGCAATACTTGCGCTTGACTTTAGAAGATTCTCCATCGAGAGTTGTTCTCTCAGCAAGGATGGATTGGTGCGACTAATCCGTACACATTGGTATAGAACGACGAGGATGTAGTCCAATACCTGTGCAATGGGCTGCAGCAAGGAATCTCCTAAAGGGATTTTACTCTCCATTATTGAGATGATACGCGTGTTGAAGTTTTGGATCACCTCTAGTATACGAGAAAGAAAAGAATTCAGATCCGAGTCTGTAGTGAAACTGAGGGCCGTGTTTACATATGACAGCAGGAAGGCGGACCCGGCGATGGCGTCGCTACCATCCGGTGTACTGGGTCCGCCGTTTCGAGCTTCAATCTGGTCAACAATGTGATCCAGCAACAGCCCAAGCTCAGATGAAACCTGAGAAGTCCACTCTCCCCATTGAAACCTCTCGCCGTCGAGTGTGAAAGGGACTCGCTGCTTTCGACGCCAGAGTGACTGTGGGTATTCGGTGCTGGCAGCCACTTCTATGGCACCAGTGCCAATAAGGCTCGTGTCATTGAAGAACACATCAGAATGTAGAGGGAACACCTCAAAGTGGTGGGTATACTGTGTGCCGTAAGGTCCAAGCCCAAATAGTTTGGCTCCCTTGCGCGTCTGATGGTTGGTCGGCACTTCTAGCGTTTGGTCCAGCACGGGCGGTAAAGGGTCATTGGCGTGACTATATTCAGGCGACTCAACATCTATTCGCCGTGGCTTAGTGTGTTTCCGACATCGCGTGTTCTTGGCAGTACTGGGTTGCTGAGTCTTGGAGATTAGATTTCGATTGGGTGAGTATGGATGTATTTGCTTGGCGCTGGACAGCACTGAGGTAGGTTCTGGGCCCCTATTATCTCCTTGATAAAGGTGATCGAGCGCTTTCTTCCCCCAGGAAAACCTAAAGCGGGCTGCCTCAGTATTATCATCAACCTCTAGCTGAGCTAATCGAGTGTGTGATAATGACTGGTGAGAAAGTGCTGCCACTTGCACGGGGTTCTTAGAAGATTTTCTTGTATTGTCTCGAAGCTTGTTGAACGATATGCTGGCAGTGCGCTTGGCCTTGCTTAGCTGGTTAGATTTTTGCTTCGTTATAGACCCTTTGCTCAATTGCATGGAGAACTGAGAAAGAGCGCCATCGAGAGGATTATGGCTTCTTGACATAGCCTTTGTTTGGTGAGCTGCCAACACAGAGGTGCGCTGCTTGATTGAGCCTGAGGTCCAATCGCGAAGAGCACTTATCGCATCGATGTGATCCTTCCGCGTAGCGAGCTGGATGTTCTTCCCATTCGGGCTGGCTCGGCCGCGATCTCGACGCCCTTTTACGGTGCGGGCAGCGATTCTAATGAACCTCGGAGCGTCAGGCTCAATTACATCGAGGATGCTGAGACGAGGCGCTAGGTTGACTTTTCGAGTGGTTTTGGCATGTTTAACAACCCTCGAATTTCTCTGCCGCCCTGGAGCATTTGGCTTTCGTCCTCCTTTTCCTAAAGATCGAGCATGCAATGGCGGTCCTTGCTTAGGATGTGCTGCTTTAGACGCTTTGGAGGGCAATCTACTGGCAGGTTTAGACACCTTTTGGCGTTTTGTTTGACTTTGAAATGCGTCAGGTAGTTTCGTTTGACGTTTTCGGCTGGCGAGAAGAGGCTCAATGTAGTCATGTTCTATAATAGACTCGTCATCTGATGAGATCTCATACATAGGCAAGGGAGTCGTATTCTCAATCTCAAGAGTTGTTTGATTATGCATAGGCCTATCCTGTCCTTTGTCGTTTGGAATATTGGTGGGCTCTTCCTCGGACTCCTCGAACATAAAATCATTGCCATTGGAGAACGAAGACGCTTCCTTCCGTCTCGCAACACCACGTCGGTTATCATCGAAATGCAAGGGATCCAGTGGCCGGCGAGTGATTTTCTTCTGAAATTTGCTTCGACTGCTCTTCTGATCCAAACGAAGCCAAGAAGCGGGGAGAACACCTTTGATCTTACGACTGTTTTGGTTGACAATGTCGGACTCACTTTCAGATGATGCACTTGACAATAGATGTCCGTCCTTTCCGTCTTCGGGTTGGGACTGTTCTGACGATTCAAAAGGGTCAACAGCTTCGGCGGAATCATGATAAGCCATCGGCAAGCTAGGTGAGATAGAGGGAAGATTGTATGATGTTGGGCCCACTGGAGACAAAGTAGGTGATTTAGGAGAGGATGCAAGCGCATCTCCTCCTAGCCCGATTGCTGGCCGTGAACCGATCCTCGAAACATCCGTGGGATCAGGCGAACCTGGTGGCATAATAAACTTCGGTCCTCCATCGTCAGGAACAGAATCAAGACGAGGCTCTCTGTCCCGCCTATGGTCCTTTGAGGGCCGGTAGGCACGACGTTTGGTGTTCCTCTTTGTTCCGAACTTGTATCGACCTGACATTAAATCTTCTAACGATGGCAGCTCCTCCCCATCCAACGTTGTGTTGTCAGTATCGTCATGAATACTGAGTTGGCTGCTCTCATTCCTGTCATTTGGTGGATCTAGCGATCTTTGCGAGGAGGAGGCAGTATTCCGGCTCAAGTCCATTGACCCTTCATCCAAAACATGTTGGGAGGCTGATTCCTGAGTTTCTGGTTGGAACTCTGCTTCCTCCAGCAACTCTTCGTCATTTTTATCCCTTCGATCTTCATCATTGGCGATTCTAACAGGCCGGAGACCATGCTGCCTCCATTCGGAGTTAAATCGAGCTCTTTCGGTCTGGTACGGTCGTAGTTGCTCTGGCCTTCGTGTTCGGAGGGATCTTTCGTTTGAAACGACTAGCCTCTGGGCAGCCAGGAGCTCTTCAGCATCGTGTCCAAGGATCTGACTCGGCAGGGGCGAAAACCGTCCTGGGCTACGTGGAGATGGCGTATCGCGCTGCAGGATGTCATTTTGGTCAAGATCGTTTGGATATGAATCCACCACCGGCGCCTCAGATAGGGCTGATGACGAAGGAGGAGGAGGGCCATTCGGTGTATCGAGGCTGGGTTGGGTCGCGCAATGCGAATCGCCGGGGGTGCGAGACGGTGAAAGTGTCGACAGAGACGAGTCATCCGACAGCTGCCTGCTGTGTTGGAGAGTGAGGGTGTCCGATTTCGCCAGGCCATCATCATCCTGAGAAGACGGAATTTCCCATATATCCTTCACCCCAATCGGATGTTTCGATGATACTGATCCTTGGAGAGTTGGCGGCAAAGAAGGCTGGTCGGTGATCTGGCTATCAAAGTCGTCATCCTCCGAGTCGGGGACCTCACCACTTTCTCTCCAGTTGGCCATCCTGTAGCTCTTGTCATGATATTACGTTCTCTGACACACATATCGTCGCGCGATTCATGGCTGAAAGTCAATAAATGGATAAACCCCAGCTGGGAGAAAACAAAGAGTTTGGCCGGAGGCTATGAACAGTGTTTCGAAGGGGTCACTTTCACCGTGTGCTTTATCGATATGCCGTCCGTCTCTCCCACCTACTTTAACGCGTTACTGGAATATCCTGACGCGTGCTGGATGTGGGTCCCCTCACTCTAGTGCAAGTAACGGACAGGCGCCCAGAGCAACGCAGCAAAGTACCTTCTGGGGGGAGGCAAGTACCTACCCCAAATTAGTGTGCCAGGTACTTCACCCCTACCAACTTCTTCCGGACAAGCACTCCACCTTTTAAAGGCGGTACCTACCTTACCACCCAGGTGCCACTCCGAGAGAGGTACATACCTTCAATACCAATCAAAAGGCCAACTGCAATTGCCCAATGAAATCTCACCCATTGATCTCCAAAATTTGCTCAGAGCCTCGTGTAAGAAAAGCAACCATTACTACCTTACATTACCTTAGTCAACCTTTACCTCAGGGCCGAGATGGGTGCATTAGAACGAGGCGTGCCCTTGGCACTTGCGATATTCTGCGGTGTCGCTGGAGGTAAATAACTCCATTTGTTTTTAATACACCCAAGCCATTACCTCAAGAGAGCGGCCTTAACATGTGCTAGGTTTATTTACCTTCCAGCCGTATTTTGTACAGCAGCAACAGGAAAAGCTTTCGAAAGCCGCCGAAACGCCCCAACGGTAGGATACAGCAGAGAACCGATGCTATTGATGTGTACGGATTCATGATGCTGATAGCCCGTTTCCAGACAGTCCAATCAGGCAAGTAGCCACCAGGAGTCGTCAACGTCAACGCCAAACAAGCCTCAGTAAAATAGATTGATACCCTCAAGGGAACTACATCATATATGTGAAGGTCTGCCTGAGGGAATTGCCATTCTCTCCAAAGACGACAGGGTTTCCACAACTTTCAAGCTGTATACAAACCAAGGCTGAATAGCAGCAGCAGCGAGACTCCAGTCTATTGTGACTATAGAATAGAGTGATGAGAGATTCACAACAAACCCATACCGCATTGGCAGGCCCGGGGTTTGGCGAACGTTTCATCGATGATGCCAGTTATAGTCTTACAATTAATTGTGCACGATGGATAGGGCTGCAGATTGGCGTGACCTGTCTCCAAGCACTGTGAAGATGGTTACATCGCGTCTAATCTGATCTGGAAATCACAAGTGGTCAGACAGAGAGGTAGCTTGTTCCTCAACTAGAGGTCAAAATCCACACCCGAACTGAAAAGGGACAGCATCGTCGTTTTAGGCAACCTTTGTACAATCATTTGCGAATCCTTCCTCCACCCGTGCGCATATGAAAGGCGAACTGATGAATACGTCAATGACAGCGGCGGCTCTTCCCGATCATGGCCTCCACTTGATCAGACCACTTTCCTAGAGCGACCATGAAGGGCCACCACGTGACCCAGCTAGATATCTTTCTTGCCTTAGTCAGCTGAACAGACCTTGCCGAGCTCCAGCGAGGGACGAAATCGTCAGCAGACTTCTTTCCCAAACGCCTGGCCCGGAAAACACTCAATCATCGACTCTCCTCCACCGACCGAAGTCGACGAATTTGCGCCAATTGACCTTCACCTCTCCCATTTACTCAATCTCCAATTGATCCGAGATGCTGCGCACCCAAGCGACGAGTGTGCTGCGCAAGAGCTTGGTGCGCAGTCACGTCCCACTCGCCCGTGCTGCCTCAACCCACGCCATCTCCAACCCGACTCTTTCCAACATTGAGAAGCGATGGGAGGGCATGCCCCTCCAGGAGCAGGCCGACCTCTGGATGGCCCTCCGTGATCGTATGAAGGGCAACTGGAAGGAACTGACGGTCCAGGAACAAAAGGCTGGTGCGTGCTTTTATACATTTCTTCGCTCTCAAGCCCCTCCCTCAAAACACCTTAGGTCTCATGACACCGAGCAATTGGATGCTACTGTGCTCCTAATATTGCATCTCATCGCAATGTCTACCCCGATCAATTTGTCTCTGGAATGACCAGCTGTTGAGACCCTGCAACTTTTCTTCTTTGAATTGGCCACAGTGAAATAGCAGCTCTATCATTGGCTGATTTCTCTCCGGGACAATTTCGGCAATGCCACCCAACATCCCTTCGACAGACACTCGCATTATATGGCGGTATAATGGGCTAACAAGTATATATTTCTATAGCTTACTGGATCGCCTTCGGTCCTCATGGCCCTCGCACAATCGACCCCCCCGGTACCACCGCCCGAATGTTCTGGGGTATCGCAGCTGGTCTCGGCGTCAGCGTTGCCCTCTTCGCAGCCATCCGTCTGGCCGCCAAGCCCGCTCCACACACCATGAACAAGGAGTGGCAGGAAGCCTCCAACCAAATCCTTATTGTGAGTCGCTTCTATTATCATTTCATTCTTTCCTACATGCTAACCAGTCTATAGGAACAAAAAGCCGACCCCATCACAGGTATCACCTCGGAGTCTTACAAGGGCCCCGGTATGGTCCAGTCTCGTCCCAAGGCTTAAGCACTTTCTGCGAGTCCCTATTCAACAATACCATACCTTTATTAGTTTTCCTTTGTGGCAGAGCATGAGTCGGACTTACGGAAGCCTTTCACCGTGTGTACATGACATAAGATCGCGGGGAGGTTGAAGATGGCTTGCGTGGGTGGGCGGTGTAAATACTGTACTACATCAACTGAACTCAGAGTTCGATCGAATTCCTTTGTGTGCTATCACTACATCCCCAAGTCCAATGCATAATGATTGTAATTACCCAATGGATAAATTGTTGTTGGGCAGGATATAAGCACCTTCTATGCTGCTGATATCCTGCACTCTAACCGCCGCTTTCGCCAGCTTCCCTATACTGTTCGAATGTCACATCTGGCTGTGTCTCAGGATGCTTTATCTTCTCCTCCTGGGTTCTCCTTTCGAATTCGAAGCGACCGTCTCGGCCCCAAGTGGCGGCCTTTTCAGTGCCATGGACACATGCCTCGGTTATAAGAACATAAGGTGTTGGGGCCTCGAACATTGGCTCGGCAAGAACGCGTTCCAGCTCCATCTTGAGCCCTCTGGCGCCAGTCCCCGCTGCTGACGCCCTTTCAGCAATGGCATATAATGCCTTGTCAGTGAAATACAAACACGAAGGGTATGTCTCGAATAGGGCAATGTACTGGGCTGCCAAATTGTTACGGGGCTCTGTCAGAATCCGAAATAGATCATCTTTCGACAGTGGGCTGAGAGCGCATATGTTATGTAAACGACCAATAAGTTCAGGAATAAATCCAAAGGCCTGGAGATCGTCGGGTGTTGCCAGATCCAAGGGCGTGAAAGAGGACGCCGGCACGGTTGAAAAGTAAGGGAGGTGGGCATAAAGCTTGGGGGCAAGTTGCTGAGAGCCTCCAGAAATAGCCATCCGGCCTTCTAGCTTCCCCCCAAAGCCAACAGATGGCTTCGCAACCCGTTTTAGAATAGTTTTGTCCAGGCCTACAAAAGCACCACAAAATACGAATAAGATATTCGTGGTATCGATTATATATTGGTCAACTTTGCCTCCCGGCGGGTTTGCCTGAGCTGCGGATGATGAAGAACCAGAGGAGTTGAAGTTTGTCGTTATGGGAGGCGCGGACCGCGATGAGCGGTTGTCCTTGACGTTTATTGTCACTTTAGTGCCTTCTACAAGCTTCAGCAGAGCTTGCTGGACACCCTCACCGCTGACATCACGGCCTGTGTGCACTTCCCTTCGCGCAATCTTGTCGAACTCGTCCAACACCACGATCCCTTGCTCGGCGGCTTTGGCATCGTAATTGGCTTCAATGAGAAGGCGCTCAATGCATGATTCTACATCCTGTCCAATATAGCCGGCTTGCGTAAAGGAATTACAGTCGCATATCGAGAATGGGACGTTTATCTTCTTGCTCAGAGTTCTATCACTGTGAGCTATGTAGACATCACGCCATGGGCAGATAACAAGACTTACTCTAAGATATAAGTCTTCCCAACTCCGGTGGGTCCGATTAACAGGATGTTGCTCTTATCGATTTTGACAGGCTCAGGGCTGTTCTGGTCTTCATGTACGTAAAGGCTGTCGAACGGGTCTTCTTGAAATTCTGAAGGGTCGTGGATGGGTCGCAGTGATTCGAAGTGGCCGGGAAATTCGTCTTTAGTAATGGATTAGCGAGTAATGGCATGACACTCGGGAGCAAACGAACCTTCAACTGGATGGGTTTCACGGCGCCGTTGGTGAAATTCCCTGTCACGAGATAGTCTCTGCCTCATAACCTTCTCCTTTCGATTTCTTTCGTCGTGCTCGTGCTGCCGTCTCCTTCTCACGTTTTGGTAATGGTTGAAGATGGTTGCACATATGGCTTTCTTCGCTCGCTCTTGGCCCACGACATAGTCATCTACTCGATCCTTGAGGTCTCGGGGATAGAACCGGGGTACACCGAAGCTAGTTTTAGAGAACATCGGGCCTCGCCCAGTGTTGGCTGTGGGATCATAACTGCCATTGAAACCGGAATTCAAGTCCGGGTTCGATCTGGAGGAGGCATATCGGCGCGTTGTAGATAGGCGCCGACATGGGTGGCATTTGGAACAGGGGAGGCTCCGCCTGGCTAAGAGAGCGCTACCAGTAGATGTTGAAAGCTTCAGAGATGCGCAGAACATGATTTGATGCCGCATGCGATCGCACACTCTGGCACCTTTGAAGATGGCGGCGTCAGGACGGCACAGTCCAGCCGGCGGTTTAAGCCGAAAGAAGCGCAAGACCCGCCTCACAATGATATCCACCGGCAACAACCGAGGGGATATCCTTGTGACGCGTGTTCTACTGCGCCAAGTGAACGATATTCTCGCCGTAGCAGCGATGACGGGAGCACCGATAGATTAGACGAGGGGCAATGGATGGCTCATGGGAAGCTGCTATGAGACAATGGTGAGGAGAGTTCTCCGCGTTCGGACCATAGACGGACCAAATCCACAGATGCGCTACTGAACCGGCAGGCGAACACCATCGCCGGATCTAGGTAACGACAAAGTATAATAGTTCGATAATGCTGAGTGCCTGTACTTCCAAGATACTTAAGCACAGTTGGCTTACTCATCCAATATTTTGCACCAGGGATGGCTTTAGACTAAGTGCCATCTTAGTGTCGAGCGATAAGAGGATCCTTATCAGGTACTAAGCTCGTGTCTGCATTCCTACTTTCGAACTCGAGAGTTGCAAACCTCTAGCATATAATCAAAAGCTGCTCCGATATAACAGCTACGAAGGAGAGAATTGACCGCTACGTAAGCCGTCCTGTTGGCGTTGGAGTACGGCTATCTCCTGGCCAGGTAGCATCGCCCGCTCCATGACATCATCCCCACCATTCCACTAGCAGGACGTACCTTAGCTGGCAATTGCTGGGACTACTGCTAGCAAACCGTTGAGGAACAAACAGGAGAGCTCCAACCTCCTCCCCTTCGCGTGGTGTCAAATAAATAGCAGCTTGAAATCGTTGCGGACTAAGCCACACCTGCTTTGATCCATCTTCGCACTCGTCTCTTCTTTCCAAGCAGTTGCATAGCTAGGGTAAAGTATTGTTCATTGCTGGCTGTCTTATCTAGCTTTGCGCCTAGTGAGCAGAAACAAGCTGCCGATCGCCAGGACCTCTCTTCAATCAATCCATCCATTCGACGTACTGCAGCAGAAACCCGCATCATCGTTGGATCCAATTCATTTCGCCCATCAAAAGCAGTCGAGCAACATGAGTATCGCCGGATTGCCTGATGCGGCCGACATTCCCAATGATGGCACTGGTGAGGCACACCAACAATCCCTCTCGCGCCTCCACTCCTAACAGATTATCGCGGCAGGTGTCGTCAAGCTCGACCCTTGGCTAGAGCCTTTCAGCGACGCGCTGAGACGACGATTTTCAAAAACACAGCAATGGATCCAAACCATCAATGATTCTGAGGGAGGGATTGATAAGTTCTCAAAGGTTTGTAAATTAGCAGATTTGTCCTGGGCGAGCAGCTGACCTTAGAAAAGGGCTTCAATCACTACGGCTTTACCATCAACGACAACACTATCGTGTATCGAGAGTGGGCTCCAAATGCCGAAGAGGCGTATCTCATCGGAGACTTCAGTAAGTTGCTAATTCTCATCTGCGGCATACATGTGGACTAATCTCACGTCTGGAAAGATGAGTGGAACCGAGGCTCTCATGCGATGGTCAAGAATGAGTTTGGGGTTTTTGAAATCACCCTTCCTGCGAAGAATGGACAGCCACAGATCCCACACAACTCCAAAGTCAAGGTGAGATTATCTGAGAATCATTAATAACATCCTACCATGGGTCAAACTAAAACATGGCTAGATCTCGCTCACTCTTCCGGGGGGTGAAAGAGCTGATCGTCTCCCAGCATGGATCAAGTATGTCACCCAGGATCTGGCTGTTTCCCCAGCGTATGATGCTCGTTTCTGGAACCCTCCCACCTCTGAAAGATATAATTTCAAACATCCTCGACCTCAGAAGCCAGCCAGTGCGCGCGTATACGAGGCGCATGTTGGCATCTCATCGCCCGATCAAAAGGTCGCAACGTACAAAGAATTTACGGAAAACATGCTCCCCCGAATCAATGATCTTGGCTATAATGTCATTCAATTGATGGCTGTCATGGAGCATGCTTACTATGCCAGTTTTGGCTATCAAGTAAACAACTTCTTCGCGGCAAGCAGCCGTTATGGAACCCCGGAGGACCTCAAAGAACTCATTGATACCGCTCATTCCCTTGGAATTGTTGTCCTTCTTGACATCGTGCATAGCCATGCCTCTAAGAATGTTCTTGATGGTCTAAATGAGTTCGACGGCACAGACCATCAATACTTTCATGCCGGAGGGAAGGGCCGTCACGATCAGTGGGACAGCCGCCTATTTAACTATGGACATCATGAAGTCATGAGGTTTCTTCTGAGCAACCTACGATTTTGGATGGACGAGTATCAATTCGATGGCTTTCGTTTTGATGGAGTGACAAGTATGCTCTACGTTCATCATGGAATGGGCTTGTGAGTTGCCGCCAAACACTCAATCCTCAAAGATAACTTCTAACTAGCAATAGTGGCTTCTCCGGAGGTTATCATGAATACTTCGGTTCCGAAGTAGACGAAGAGGCGGTAGTTTACCTTGCACTTGCCAACCATCTCATTCATTCCCTATATCCCGAGTCCATCACAATCGCAGAAGATGTGTCCGGAATGCCAGCCCTGTGCCTCCCTGTATCTCTGGGCGGTGTTGGGTTTGACTATCGTCTCGCTATGGCTGTCCCAGATATGTGGATCAAGATCCTCAAGGAGGTCAAGGATGAAGAATGGGACATTGGGAACATATGTTTCACTCTGACGAATCGCCGCCATGGAGAGAAAACAATTGCATATGCTGAGAGTCATGATCAAGCGTATGTATGTCCTTAATATTTTTATATGCCATCTGCTGACATTTTGCCAGACTCGTTGGAGACAAAACACTGATGATGCATCTCTGCGACGCTGAGTTATATACCAATATGTCTGTGCTTTCACCTCTGACGTCCGTCATCGACCGTGGAATGGCTCTTCACAAAATGATTCGACTATTGACGCACAGTCTGGGTGGCGAGGGCTATCTTAATTTTGAGGGGAATGAGTTCGGCCATCCTGAATGGCTCGATTTTCCTCGAGAGGGGAACGGTAATTCGTTCTGGTATGCCAGACGCCAGCTGAACTTAACCAGCGACAACCTTCTCCGCTACCAATTTCTCAACAATTTTGATCGTGGAATGAATCGGTGCGAGGAAAAGTTTGGCTGGCTGCACTCACCTCAAGCATTCGTCTCGCTTAAACATGAAGGTGACAAGGTCATAGTGTTTGAACGCGCGGGGCTTGTTTTCATCTTCAACTTTCATCATGCTAGCAGTTTCGCCGATTACCGAATCGGAATTGAGGTTCCTGGGACCTACCGGATTGTTCTGAACAGCGACTCCAAGGAATACGGTGGGTTCAACAGAATTGACGAAGAGACCCGGTTTTTCACCACCCCAATGGAATGGAATGGCAGGAAGAACTGGACGCATGTGTATATTCCATCCAGGACTGCACTGGTGAGTACCCCGTCCGACGTTGGGAGGAAGCATCTAACATGGAACGCAAGATTCTCGCTTTGGAGAGCCCAGTCTCCCAGCAGGCATAGAGGTGCTCCGGGTATTAATGGGCTGGGTTTGGCAAGGCTGTTCGATGATGGGGAGTGGTAACCTACTGTCAGACTACTAGAACAGTTGGTGCTTGGTACTCTTGTTCAGCTGCATTAGGCATATGTTCGCCTAGTGGATGATTCTCAGCAGGTAATCTGAATAGTTGATTTGGGAGGAATTGACGATGACTGGAGATTAATGGGTGGTGGTTGATAGCATGGTGGCTACTAAAGCCAGTACACTTTAGAGAGGCATCTTGGCCAATTGTTCCTTAGGCACAGGATATTATATACGACTATTCCTCTGCTTCCTCACTGTGGTGGGCCGTCTTACCAGCCTCAATCATGGCAAGCTTCCTCTACCCTCCGATAAAGACTTTTTTCTCCCCCCAACCATGTCATGACGAATCGATGGATGTCCTGCCAGTGAGTCAGCATGCCCTGGCATAATACCGAGACGTGTCGGCTTGTAAGTTGCTAACCAATAATGATCATTACCGGCCAGGCACCCTTGGATATCTTGCTAGAGATAGGGTAAGCACAAGATCGCGTCTAGCTCTTCTATGACAAGCACAGCCCCGCCGCCATCTGCGCCATGTCAAACTCCCCACCTGTGTCTATGACCGCACAGGAGGGACGGTGCCTACCTACCTTGGGTACGGGGAGCATTCCTTAGATGTAGGCCGTGCAACTGGGACTTGTGATCCCACGCATACTTGAACCCGTCATCTTACACTGTTCCCGAGAGCGAAAACCACGGGGTTGAGTTGAGCCGCCTTGCATCATGCCCGAATCCTCCGCCTCGTCCTCCCCCGAGGCGCACACATCCGCGTCCAAAACCGATGACGAGAAGCCGTACCACTCGAAACGCCCCCACAAGAAATCAAGAACCGGCTGCAAGAATTGCAAAGCGCGCAAAGTCAAATGCGACGAAGCCCGCCCGACCTGCCGGTCCTGCAGACTGCGCAAGACCGAATGCATCTATCCATCTTCGTCACCAAAAGCGACACCGGCGGGCACAGCGGTGCCAATCAGGAGCAAAGACTCGCCATTGCCGTCACTAGAGGCCGATTACTCCAGCAATGACCAGCCCTCTCCGTTCCCGCCTGCGCTCGCGGCAACTTCCAACCCCGGCCAATTTGATTTCGACCGCGATACGACTACACCGAGTTTCCCTTCGACCGATGACTTGGGCTTGATACCGTCCATAGTTGTCGAGCCCATGTACCGCCCGGCACCAGCAGTTGACGAAATCGATATGCGGCTGTTGTGGTTCTATACTACTTCGACGTGCTCCTCCTTCAGCATCGAACGCGGTACAACCAGGCCTCTCGAGTCCCTGATGCGCACCACAGTTGTCCAGTACGCCTTCGAGACACCCTTTCTCATGCACTCGCTGTTTGCACTTGCATCTCTGCAACTACAAAGCCTGGGCAGTGCAATCGATCCACAGCGATCATTCTACTACCGCGCCAAATCATTCGAAGGCTATCGTAAAGCAGTAGAGGATGCCAACCCTGCCACGATACCTGCCCTTCTCGCCAACTCCTTGTTTCTCACCGCACTATCCTCGCAGACTTTCCGGGATCCGGATACGAAGGATCTCTATATCGTAGACTGGATGCTTGTTTGGCGCGGGATCGGCCTGATGATCGGCGCTATGGGTGTTGGGCCTATGATTGATGCCGGCCTCAATATACTGTTCTACCGGCCCGTCATAGACCTTGATGAAGCCACATTTTCCATCCCTAACAACTTGCTTTTCATGGTTTCCTCCATCTCAACCGATGACCCTGACCATGCCGAAGTTCAAGTCTACTACAACACATTGAGATATCTGGGTTCCCTCTACTTCAATCTTGCTACCAAGGGAATGACGCCCGTCATGGCCCTCCGGGTCATCACCTGGTTCACATTTGTCCCCAGGCGGTTTGTAGAGCTCGGGAGGGAAATGCGGCCGCGGGTTATCGTGATACTGGCCTATTATGCCATGTTTCTCAAACTCACCACCAACATCTGGTGGACGGCTGGGATCGGTGAACGTACCCTGCGGGATATCAGAAAACACCTCAACGCGGAATGGGTAGATCTGGTGAGAATTCCATTCCAGACAATAAGTGTGCACGACAGCACGAAGGTGGCACGCATAATCTTGCAGGATCCGGAATGGAATAACCCATCCACCATAGCCGGGCTTGCAGAGAGCGAGGAGGCGCTGGCCGGTGTCCGAAAACTCACCTGGGTTGACAACGTAGGTGAGCCGATCACTTGGCAAGACAATCAACCGGTGCTTGTCAACCCAAACGATGAAGGCTCAACAACACCTACCTGGTCATTATGATCCACTTCCGGGGAGAAATTAATGATAATAAGAAAACCAATCCGTAAAATTTATGCAACTCTTACAATTGAAGCCTTGTAGTGTTTATGTAGACGTGAGAGATTGGGAAATGTCTTGTGATAAACTATTTGTCCAATACATCCATTCAGACGAGTGATTAACTCCGCACATAGAAATTGACCTTACTCTATCACTCTATCAATATCTATACTTTGTCTAATATCACGAAAGTAAGCCATGTACTGGAAACAACTCCAGATGTCATGAACTACGAAGGAGCCTACCTAACAACAAGTCAGTTAGCAACACAATTATAGCCAAATGGGTTTTTGTTAATTTGATCATTGTGGCTACTAGTGTCATAATTATTGGAGAGTAAGAGCACAAAGATTGAGAACGCTGAGAATAAGTTGGAAATTCAGCGCCGGTCACATGGTATTACAAAAGGCCGTCGATTTAACAAAGGAAACAAGCTGACTTATTGAGTAATCATGGCTACAGGAGGAATTTTTGTTGATTTCTTGTTACACAGCCCACGAACGAGACTTAATGGAGCGTTTAGCAGAAACCTCCCCTATGGCCAACCGTTCATCCTTCTGGTCTATACACACAGGCCTAAACTTCTCCACCCGCTCCGAGGTATTATTTCACGATCCCCCAGAGAAACCGCTTAGCTCTTCTGCTCGAGTTCAGCGAGAATCTTCTCACCCTTCTCCTTGGCCGAGGCGAAATCGCCAACCATGTAGAAGGCGTTCTCGGGAAGGCTGTCACCCTCACCGCTGAGAATGGCCTTGAAGGAGCTGATGGTGTCCTTCAGGTCAACCAGCTTACCCTCGATACCAGTGAAAACCTGGGCGACAGTGAAAGGCTGGCTCAGGAAACGCTGGATCTTGCGGGCACGCTCGACAGTAAGCTTGTCAGCTTCAGAAAGTTCGTCCATACCCAGAATGGCAATGATATCCTGGAGAGACTTGTATTCCTGAAGAATCTGCTGAACACGAGTGGCAGTCTCGTAGTGCTCATCACCCAGAATACGGGGATCCATCATACGGGACTTGGAGTCGAGAGGGTCGACAGCAGGGTAGATACCCAACTCGGAGATACCACGGGACAAGACAGTGGTGGCGTCCAAGTGAGCGAAGGTGGTGGCGGGGGCAGGATCAGTCAAATCGTCAGCAGGGACGTAGACAGCCTGGACGGAGGTAATGGAACCCTTCTTGGTAGTGGTAATACGCTCCTGCATACCACCCATATCGACGGCGAGGGTGGGCTGGTAACCGACGGCAGAGGGGATACGACCCAGAAGGGCAGACACCTCAGAACCGGCCTGGGTAAAGCGGAAAATGTTGTCAATGAAGAGCAACACTGATTGATGGTTAACATGGGTGTTTCTTAGATTGAGCTTTGAAAAGTGAGGCACTTACCATCCTGACCTTCCGCATCACGGAAGAATTCGGCGACAGTCAAACCAGTGAGGGCGACACGGGCACGGGCACCCGGGGGCTCGTTCATCTGACCGAAGACCAGGGCCACCTTGGACTCGCCATCAAGCTGAATAACGGAGGTTTCCTGCATTTCGTGGTACAGATCGTTACCCTCACGAGTACGCTCACCGACACCAGTGAACACGGAGTAACCACCGTGAGCCTTGGCAATGTTGTTGATAAGTTCCTGAATGAACACAGTCTTACCGACACCGGCACCACCGAAGAGACCAATCTTTCCACCACGAGCGTAGGGAGCAATAAGGTCGACAACCTTGATACCAGTGGCGAGAATCTCAGCAGCGGTAGACTGCTCAGTGAACTCGGGGGCTTCGCGGTGGATAGGGAGGTGGTTCTCGGACTTGATGGGGCCACGCTCGTCAATGGGGTCACCAGTGACGTTCATGATACGTCCCAGAGTAGCGTTACCGACGGGAATGGTGATGGGAGCACCGGTGTCCTTGGCGGGGGCACCACGAGTAAGACCCTCAGTACCTAAAACAGTTAGAAACGTCGAGATTTCGTGTGTGTTTCACGACTTACCGTCCATGGCAATGCAACGAACGACGTTCTCTCCGAGATGTTGCTGGTCAAGGTCAGCTGGGCGGACTCCAATCCGAATATGTGAGGCAAACTTACCGAGACCTCGAGCACGAGCTTCTGGCCATTGTTGTCGGTCTCAAGAGCGTTCAGGATAGCGGGCAGCTTGGCAGTGTCGAACTTGACTACAGCAAAGTCAGCAATTGAAGGCGGTGATTGACCCGGTCATATTGAGCGACTAACCATCCACAACGGCACCAATGACCTGTCCAATCGTTAGCCTCAATTCCTCCAAGATGCCAGCTCATCTCGGCCAGCAGCAATCGACGCATCCGATCTCACCTGGTAGATCTTGCCATCACCGACACCAGAAGTGCTCGCGAATCGGCTGTTGAGGGCTCGGAAGGGGGCAGGCTTGACGGCACGCAGAGGAGCCGCAGCCCGGAAGGCAGGGCGAGCCGCGCGAGCGAAGGAGGAAATGCCGCTACACGGAATCAAGTTGTGTTAGCCCAATGTGCGCCAATTGAACCCAATTCGGATCGAAAACTCCAGTGTGATATCCCTAGGGCGTCAAACTAACCTCTTGAACATCTTGCCCGATGAAGAAGAGCGATCTGTGATGGGAGTGGAGGGAGGTCGTTGAAGCTGAGGGAGAACTTTTACGGGGTGAGCAGTTTTGCTCGGGAGAGGACGACCTGTCGGCTAGAGCTTTCCCCGTAAGTCACGTGCAGCCGCTAAACCCGAATACACTCATCTGCCCCACCTGCCGGGAAATTATCGGGGCCCAGTCCGCTAAACAACAGCTGAAATTGAAGCTCTGTCTGGCTGTTTTTGCGGCAGAAACGAGCTTCCGGCCTCAGGATGAAAAAAAATTCCGTTGTTCCCGATGCTGCTTTCCCTCAATTACCCAAACACTTGACACCTGGCCAAGTAGGTGACATAAAAGATGGCACACTACTCATAGCATTCGTCGATTCCGACACAATTAACAGAATAGTAGTCAACACAACAAGTCAAAATAACCGATACAACTCAATACGGCACCGTTAGTGGTGTATTGCTACCTTGTTAATAGGGCTATGATTATTCTGAAAAATCGCGGGCGACCCTTGGATCCAATGCAGCTGCGATGGATGATGTTGAATGTTGTGATGTGAGGTATCGCATCATGGGCATCCAGGTAGGCAGTGTGCATTTACTATATTGTCGTCCTCCTTCAATCTGTCATAAGTTCCTTTACAATGTGATGATTACCTAGGTAGTCTTCTAATATCAAAGGCGACGTCTATGCTTTACATCAGAGGCGGAGCGCAGTATTTAGTGTCCAGCGTTTTATGTCACCCACTTACAACCGGCATCTCGGTACAGCGGAAGGGGGCGATGTAATGCCTGCTAACCACTCATGCAGGCGAGGGTAGAAAGCGGGGTTAGCTTAGATCTGGCTCAGAATCCCAGTTCCCACACCACCTGACAAGAAACCCAGTGCATTCTGCGATTCTTAAACTCAGGCGGATTGGATGTCCACAAGTTGGTGACATGAAAAACCCCGCTATGCACCAAAACAAAAGCCCGCTTGCATATGATCAAAGGCAGATGAGGTAGATATTCTGCGAGAGACTACACTAAGACCATCGTATGCTAAAAGGAATTAATTGGCCTATCAGTGTAATGGGGAAAATATAGCAGGTGGTTCCTCCAGGTTCAACTGTGACGAGCCAATTCAGTCGGGTCATCCTTCGACTCGGTGCTCCAGTATTTGCATCTCTGTTGCAGCTGTCTGCTGATTTCTTGCCCGTTCCAAACCTCCCTTGCGCAGGCCTCCTGGGACAGACATCCACAGGATCAGGATAATGGTAAAGACTGCCAACACGACTGGCTGCAGGACTTCAACGCCCTTTCTCTCAGCTAGAACTCCGACAACAAATGGCAGGATAGCCGCACCGCTTCCGCCAATTGCGGCAGCGATACCAATCGAGGCGACGTGCTCTTCGGCAGGCAGGAGTTTTGTCATAACCACAATCGCGGCAGGGAATAATGGCCCAAGAAAGAAGCCCAGCATAATGACGCAAGCCAGTGTCACCTCAATGCTTGGAACTGCCCAATATAGAACCTCCAAGGCGATACAAAGTCCGAGGTATATGCTAATAGCTAATTTTTCTCCGATGCGGCCTGTGATGAAACCGAGGACAACTCGGCCTACAGTCAAACCGCCCCAGAAGCAGGTCACGGCGATTCCAGCTAGCCAGCCACTCGCATGCCGTACCTTCAGCATGAATGTCGGGATCCATCCACCAAGACAGACCTCGACACCGACGTATCCAAGGAGGAAGGCTGACATGAGCCAGGGAAGTGGCTTACGGAGAACGTCGGCAGTACTGATGGGCCTGGTCCCTTCATCTAACCTGTGCCTCTTGCGATACTCGGCCCCAGTAGCGCCCCAGAAAGAGAGCAGGCCCACAACGAGCTCGAGAGCCGAAAGGCTTATCATGAGGTAGAAGAAATTGTACCACTCAAGTTGGAGCTTAGTGACCATGACTGAAGCAAGCAAAGGGGCAAGGGTACCGCCAATACCGTAGGAGCCGTGGAGCAAGCCCAGAAGCTCGTTTGTGTTGTGGAGATTCCCAACCCAAGCATTCCATGCGCTATCATTGAGGCCATTCCCCAAGCCGGTAAACACCATAGCGGCGGGGAGGATTCCGAAGGAAGAGGGATGCAAAGCCATTGGTACATAACCTATCAACCGGCAAATGGAGCCAAGTAGGGAGATTCCACGCTGGCCAATAGTGACATGAATCCAGTTGTTTGCCAAGGCAGCGGCGAGGTATCCCACAAAAGGAACGACAAATAGCAATGACACTGTGGTGTAGTTGACATCGTAGTAAGGTTCTATCTAAACCAGGGTAACCTTAGCTCTGCTAGTTTAAGGGGGGGTAGAGGCCCAATTCTTAGCCACTTACATATGGAATCAGCGCCTATTACGAGAAGAACAAGATGAAGATGCGTGTCAGTCTACTGCCTTTCAAAAATTCGATAGAGAAAAGAATTATTATGTTGCCTGTGCACCTTTCTCGAAGCGAGAGCGGGCTGGCTATGTGACTTACACCAAGGCAGGCATCGTTCATACCCATAATCACAAATGTAAGGTTGACAGAGACGAAGCGCATTGCATTGACCTTAGGCTCATTCCAAGACTCTTGTTTTATTAAAGAGCGGTGGCTGTCATCACCTTGTTCAGAGAGCGAATCGCCAAGGAGGGCATCCCCCTCCTCATCGACCACCCCGCTAATATCGAGTTTAGAATGGAATTCACGGCTACTGCTAGATCGCTCGTTGGTGTCCATGATGTGGTTACAGTGATAATAGCCGTCTTAGGGCAGGTTGATGCCAGCTGACCTGGGTGATATTTCGAGAGAGAAGAGTTTAGTAGAATATGGCGCCTAGTCAACACCCTAGGAGGATGAGCAAGATACGAGACGCGGCGCACGGTATGTGTTTTGGCGGGCTTCTGTCAATATCGGAGAAGAGCATCTGACGAGACCCAGATCAAGAGACTCTGCTGAGAAGAGCGATGTCGCTGGCAATATCTTTAGCGGAGATGCTGATATTTAGTAATGTATAAGGTAACCTAGGTCATCCTCCAGCAGGGTGACATTGAATTTGAGACGATGGATATGATGCTACTTATTCTCAAATCTGCAAAGGATGGGGTATTGTCAGATTATTGAGCGCTAATAACACTTAACTAAATGATAATACACTAGAGATTATTTCATATGTCCATTTTATACTTCCTCATTACTTCAATCATTATAGAAAATGGCTTGCTTAGAACCACCCTCAATCTAGGCAGTGTCTTATTTCTTTTGTCACCCACTTGCTCCTGGTAGGTATCTTCGTACCTCTGTAATTACATAATACTACAACAACCCGACCGCGGAACACCAACATTTGTCTAACCTATAGTCGGCTCCAACCATGCTTGCGAGGCTAGTATCATGATTTGAACTGCGAGAAACGGCGGATTTTCCCACATCTCTGAAGACCTAGCTCTCCTACGGTCGGCATTGGCCGAACTCGATCGTGCGGATGCACCTTCCAGGCTCCCCGGCGCTCAGTACGGTTACCCTAGCCGCGGCCGTGAGAGCGCAATGGTCCCAAACTATCCGTGGTCTCCCTGAACTGCCTAATCCCTCTTCACCAAACTTGCGTGTTGGTGATTATCGACGACGCCGTTTCTATTCTTCGTCTCTGCCAGACCCACCTGCCTCGAACTCTCCTCCCAGAGACCCTAATACTGGTTCCGATCCCAACAACAACGGCAGGCCTCTGAGAGATACACTCCCGGAGCAAGATGTAGAGAGTGGCGAAGGGAGTCACAATGCCGCGGATACGCACATCGGCCGTTCAAAGAGGCACGACCTATCACCGGCAAGGAACCGGCAAAACCGTCGTCGCGTTTCATCCGCACTTCCACCTGTCTCTCTGCCACCATCCTTTGAGTCGAACAACGTTCTCTACTTTCAGTACGATGGCCAACCTTACCTACCGCCCGCCTTGGTCGAGGATGCGAAGCACGATAAAATATCCCGCCTCTATCCACGCACCAAAGGCGACCGTACTGCTGGTTTCCAGAAAGCCATTGGTACCATCGAGACTTATTTCGACACAGCGCTAGACCTGCTTCTCCAACGAGAGAAGCAACTTGCGCTCGACTTTCTCGACCGACCCCTCGATAGCCCGTCGCACTGGGACCACCCTCGCATGATCCAACAGGTCGTCCGTACCTGGGACATGATTCTCGATGCCGCTTGGCACCTCACCGATGCCCTGTATCCTGCACGACAGCCCGAATACATATATAAGAGCCGCCCTTTCTGGTGGTGGCATTTCTACAAAGATCTCGACCTTCACACACAAAAGTTCCGCAACTTGACTGAGTCTCATGAGCTTCCGATTCGTACTCAACTTTCTTTTGCCGAGGACCTTGATTTCTCTCTTTCACACGCTCTTGCCGACTTTCCTGCAGAGACTTTCGAAGCTGTTACCAAAGCCATTGATCGAGAGCTTTCGGCTCTTTGCCCCCCTACATTTGACCCCAAAACGGGTAAACGACCAATACATATCATATCAACATCTGGATACGCCGGGAAGGCCATCTCCCAGTCCCTAGGGTCTCACATGGGCTGGGTCAACTGGGCCGATGTCATTCATTTGGATGCACATGATCTTTCCTGTCTAATCGGCCAGTATTTAGGCCAAGACTGGGCATTTTCTCGAGGCCCTTTGTCGATGATGGGTTTTCGCGCCGCCGAGTATAATGGGAAAATGACTAAGGAGGCTGAAACGACGACCAAAGTGGCCGACGAGGATGATGTTGACAATGAAACGAGCATCATCAACGTCCGTACTTCAACATCTTCCCTTGAAGATGAGCTTCAAAAAGCCAGGCAGGGAAGCTATGACATTTTTAGCAAATGGGAGAATCTGAAAATCGATAAGATTCTTGACCACATCATCCGCGCAGCAGAGTCAACCACGGCTCCCTCCATGTCCCAAAAGAAGCTTCTTGTACACATTCATGACTATGTGGAGCTAAGCATGACTTTAGAAGGCTCATATATATTGTCAAGACTCCGAGCTCTTGTGGACGCTGCGTGGCATCAAGGAAAGCAAATCGCTATTATTGGGACCTCTGCCTGCAACCAGCCTTCGGAGGAGTATCAGAATACCGTTAATGAGCTTGCAATCGGAGATTTCGTCGTGACACGGCACATTCAACCGGACCGTGCAGAAAAGCAGACTGCAGTAGCCGCCACAAATGCGCCGGCATTTAATCTTGAGAAAACGGATATTGTCTTGGAAAATACGGCCAATATCAATCGAATGTTGTGTTCCCTTGATCCAAAATTCGCCCAATCAGCCTCAACACAGCTTGAGACTGAGAAACAGTTTACCGCAATGGCACTTATTCCTAGCCCTAAAAATATCCTCAGACAGTCCATCCTTCCAGTCCCGGATGTCTACTTTCTTGCTTCAGCATTCCGCGATGCCGAAACCCTTCACCCTGGGGCGGGAGCCGTCAACTGCCTGGATCGAATTTTCATGGGCCCTCTCAGACAACCTCCAGGCCAAGATTTCCTTGAACAGAAAAACTCAGACGATGCACCGGAGCAGCGTGACATGTCCAAGTCTTCCGAAGAAACAAAATTTGAGACCCGAGTCAACCCGAAGCTGAGTGGTATGAACGAATATGAGAAACGGATCGCTTCCGGACTCATAAATCGGGAGAATATACGCACAGCTTTCAGTGATGTTCATGCGCCACCCGACACGATATCAGCTCTCAAGCTCCTCACTTCCCTAGCCTTAGTGCGCCCAGACGCCTTCTCATACGGCGTTTTGGCACATGACAAGATCACGGGATGTTTGCTGTATGGTCCTCCGGGTACAGGGAAAACGATGCTCGCCAAAGCTGTAGCCAAAGAGAGTGGCGCCAATATGCTGGAGATCAGTGGTGCCAGCATCAACGACAAGTGGGTTGGTGAGGCCGAGAAATTAATTCGAGCAGTTTTCACACTTGCGAAGAAGCTATCACCCTGTGTTGTTTTCATAGATGAGGCCGATGCAATGCTGGCAAATCGAAGCATGTTCAGCAACCGCCCATCGCACCGTGAGCATATTAACCAATTCTTAAAAGAGTGGGATGGGATGGAAGAGACAAGTGCCTTCATAATGGTGGCCACGAACCGACCGTTTGACCTTGACGATGCCGTCTTGCGCCGCCTACCTCGCAAAATTCTCATTGATCTACCACTTCAAAACGATCGAGCTGCTATCCTCCACTTACTACTGAAGGACGAGAAGCTAGAGGAAACCGTGTCGCTGGAGGAGTTGGCGGAGCGAACGCCCTTTTACTCGGGCTCTGATCTGAAGAATGTGTGTGTTGCGGCCGCCATGGCTGCAGTAGAGGAAGAAAATACCGACGCAGCAGCCCACGACGGCCCTGAGCCATACAAGTATCCGGAGCGGCGGACTTTACGCAGAGACCATTTTGAACGCGCCATCAAGCAGATTCCCGCTAGCATCAGCGAAGATATGCCATCCCTACGGATGATCAGGAACTTCGACGAAGAGTACGGAAATAAAAGAAAGTCTGGCGGCAAGAAAAGCATGGGCTTTGGCCATGTGGCCGTCGGGGAAAAGGTTGACGCCCAAGCAGCAAGGGTCCGACAACGGGGCTTTTGACATTGTTCAAGCCTGCCGACCTAAATATAAAGATGGAGAGTTGGATTAACAAATCAAGAAGAAAATACTGTACATATACTAGCATCCTGTGGATCTTGTAACAATAACTATGTGTATTATCTCGCTCTCACTTGATATTGTGAGGATAGTATTAGATTTCTGAGGGCTAATCATAATATTGAGGGACAAGTCACTAAATATAGTTTGCCAGCATTTTGCCATGAACGTGTTGACTCCTAACTGTACACACAAGTGAAGGCTACCAAAACTTCGCGATTGGTTGGCCATATAATCAGAAACTTTGTGGTACCTTGTTTCGTATTCAACAGATTGTTATTATCCCTCAGTCTATAGCTACCTGCCAGGGTCGCACAACTCCATCATCACCAGTTGTGATTAACATTTCCTCCACGCCTCGCTTATCTGACTCGATGCCTGAATCCCATCGACGACACCACGCGACATGATTCACTTCATATGGCCCATGAGCATTCTCGTGGCTATCTAGTAGCGTCCATGAGCAGTCCTCCTCCTCCTTGTACAATGCTAGCACACCATCACTGCCCGTGCTGGCGATAAGGCCAGTGACGGGGGACCATGCCGCAGAGTAGACATCACTGGAGTGGACTTTGGGCAGTGTGGCGGTACAAATCCATTCCTCGCGCAGCGATTGGCGCATAGTGTTGGGAATACCTCCGAGGGGGTTGCGCGTTCGTGCCTGTGCAGTGCCGGATTGCTCTGCATCATCATCGTCCCCCTCTCCCTGCTGGGTGAGCGTCCAAACGCGCAACGTCCCATCGGCCGAGTATGAGAGTAACCGGGGGAACTTGTTCCCTTTCCGCGGCTTTCCCTCCCACTCAACGCCCCAAACTGTGCCTTCGTGCCCCTCGAGAACCGCTACGCAGACCCATTCCGCATCGCCATCTTCCCTCCAGACCCTCAGAGTGTTATCATAGCTGGCAGAGGCCAGAACATCGTGGCCGTAGGTGTTGGGCCGTGAGCGGCCTGGAACGTCGGGGCACCAGGCAAGAGACTTGACATCGCCCTCGTGCTCGTTCAGGACGGCAATCGTCTCCCACTCGTCATCGGCCTCGGA